GGCGTTCTCTCTCGGTGTAAATGTCTATGTCTCACTTACCATTTCCCCATCACAGGATACCACCCGAGACTAAGGTACCGGAGACAAAAATCAGGTAGCTTCAATCTTCTGCTCCTAAGAGCGCATCGCCAAGGTTACCAGGAGCTCCGCAACAGATAAGCCCTTTTCCCGAGGCCGAGCTACTGCTTCTTCCTCGTCACGTGACTTGCCATACTCCGTCCCGCGATATAATGGAGCCTCCTATTCAAACCTGAAGAGGGAGGAACCAAGAAATCGGAGGCCCTTCCTCCTGCAATACTCGCACCCGAGCTACATATGGGTTAATAAGGATTCCGAAGGACCTGATAAGATTTCGGACACGCTGCCTTTTCCCGCCGAAGTCCCGAGAGGACCCGGCGCCACCCAGCGCTCTCTGCTTGGCGCGCCCCACAGCACGACGGTTGGGTCCAGAAGCCACGCCCCCTCGGCCGCCCTACCAGTTCTCCGTCCTCCAAGCGAGCCCCCTAGTCCAGCCCGCTTCCCCACAGCTGGTCGGGGCTTCCACTCACCGCCTACCTACCCGGCCTACATCAAGGCGATCCCCGACTCCCTTCTTCATGGCGTCGCTTCTGTGCTGTGGGCCCAAGCTGGCCGCCTGCGGCATCGTCCTCAGCGCCTGGGGAGTGATCATGTTGGTGAGGGGACTGCCCGGCGAGAACAGGAGAGGAAAGGGCCTGAGGGCCCCGGTGTTGGAGGGCTGGAAGGCTGGGGGACTCCAGGCCTCGGAGAGCAGCAGGCAGGCTGGAGGGGATAGTTGATTAGCCTCTGGAGAAGGAGACAGAACTGAACTGAGAAATGGGGAGTTGGAGAGTGGAGGGGGAAAAACTGAAGATTGGTATGGGAGCTGGGCTGGTAAATTTGGAGAACCCTCAAGGTAAGAGGAAGAAGAGCTGGGTTCTTGAGAGATCCTTGCACTGAATGGAGGCAGTGGGGAAAGGGAGTGCTTGTTCCCGAAGTGGGCAGCTGGGCCTTGTTTCCCCAGGACTCTACCCGCCCCAAACCAGGAAGAAATAATATGAAGAAGTACCGATTCCTCCTAACCCCTCCCCTCTGTCCCGTGATAATCACGCCTCTGGAGGGAGGATAATCTGGGTTCCTCGGTTGCTCACTATTCTTGCCCTTGCCCCAGCCAAGTCTCTGTGTCACCACTCACGCCCTATTCTGGGTGACAGGAGTCCAAATCCAGCAACAGCCATCCCTAATCCAGCTCATTCTGGCAATCCCAAACATAGATGTTGTGGCAACATTCGAAGTGGGAGGAGTTTAGGCAGTGACCAGGTCAGGTGCCTGAGTTCAACAACCTGCGCTTTCCCTTTTTTCAGATAATGCTCGGAATCTTTTTCAATGTCCACTCCGCTGTGCTTTTTGAGGATGTTCCCTTCACGGAGAAAGATTTTGAGTAAGTAGAGAGGCCAGGTGAGGTGGTCAGAATGACGGGCGGGGAACTGCAGGAGGCTGGATGCTTGGGGCCCGGAGGATAGGGAGCTGGGTGCGAAGAGCTGCTCTCTTAGCACACAGTTACGAGCGGTCTTGGGAGTCAGATCTCAGGCCATCCTAAACCCACCACTTTAGATGTGGCTTCTTTGGGTATTACATTTGACTTCTCTGTGCCTCCGTCCACCTCTGCAAAGTGGATGCTGTAAAAGAACTCAGAGTTATGGAGAAGATTGAATAAGACAATACACGCAAAAGCGTTTAGAATGGTACCCAGCACATAATCAGTGTTCGGTAACTATCGGCCGCTATTAATGTTTCTGACATTTCTCTGCCTAATCCTCACCCCTAGGAATGGCCCCCAGAACATATACAACCGTTACGAGCAAGTCGGTTACAACTGTTTCATCGCCGCGGGCATTTACTTCCTTCTCGGAGGCTTCTTTTTCTGCCAGCTTCGGCTCAATCAGCGCAAGGAATACATGGTGCGCTAGAGCACCGTCGCGTTTCCCCTCTCCTGCCCCC